GATGGATGGATGGATGGATGGAACTTCATTTCTGGACATTTATGGTTTGATTTCTTTGTATGTATGGATCATTTGGGTTGTTACCGACATCTGGTGAAAATTTCATGTCGTTAGCACCTCTAGTAATATATTTACTGAGAAAAATGTTGACGTGTTCAATACTTATTTTACCCGCTGTATGCCTCCTGTGTGCTGCTGTTGAAAATATTCACACCTGTTTGATGTTTTACTGCTGAATATAATGTCAGATTGATAATCAAATGAATTAACTTTGTAACCTCATGTCACAATTTTTTTTATCAAATAAACATTTAAGCAACTGTTCATTTTTATTTTTTCAGTTTCTGTGCAATTTTTGTTTTACAAGAATCACTAATAAAAAAGAAAGTAAAACACGTCCTTCTAATCACCTAACATTAATGATTTTAAAGATTTCTAAAACATGAATAAACTCAAGCTTTACACTGAAGGCAAATTTGCTGAACTTGGGGCTGCAAGAGTGGTCACAGCTTCTCTACCCTCCTAACRGAAACACATGATTAAAGACTGTAGCGTTGGCAGGTGTTTTTATCTGATCCCTTCATGCTGTCCTAGTTTCAGGAACTAACCTGTGCCAGGTGGTCCATAGAGGATGACGCCTTTTGGAGGCTTAATGCCCATTTCTTCATAATATTCTGGGTGTGTGAGCGGCAGCTCCACTGATTCCTGTCACCAACAACAGAAAACAAGACATTAGAGCTAAAAATACAAACACAACTAATTCAAAGCCACTTGCTGACAGAAGGACGAGTCGTACATGACAGAGTGATGTACCGCACCTTAATCTCTTGGATCTGATTGTCCAGTCCCCCGATGTCGGCGTACGTTTCCTGGGGGGCCTTTTCCACTTTCATCACTGTCACCAAGGGATCTGTATCATCCATGAGTACTCCAATCACAGCATGAACCTACAAACAGACAAGTGTGGGACAGGAAGTAACAATATTTGACATCAATTAGAAGACTTTATTTACAGGCACCGTGTAAAACTMAGACACTTGAAAAAATAAAAAGAACGACCTTGCTGTTGTTCGACCAGAATTATTATTTACTTCTTAGTTATTCTTAAAAAATGCCATTTGACTACATGTTACCTTGTGGTTGAGCAGGACAGAGCAGCCAGGCTCCAGTAAATCTTTGTCCACAAACGACAGGATGCTGACGTAATGCTCCGACCCCACTGAGGTGGAAACGATGGCATGGTTGTCATCAATAATTTCTTCAAGAGTGCCAACAGACATGGGGGTTCCTCGCAGATCATCCACCTTTGACCTTTCCTCCTGCGCAAAAAAAMCCCCCACAAACACAACATGACTGTACAGTTATTGTAGTTCAGAAGAAACCCTTAAGGACGGGAGGTAAAATGGAAGAATGGCCAACCTCCTGTTTTTCTTCTAAAGGTTTCATTTGCTCCTGGTTCCTGATGAACTCCTCCTCCATCAGTAAATAATCTTTGATCCGCTCCTGCTTCAGCAGCTTCAGACGGCACTGAGTGTGAGGTGTGACTGAAAGAAAAACGTGCAGAACGTGTTCAAACAACTACATTCAACAGTCATTTAAACAGGGCAGCTGTGGCTACAATGTAGCTTACCACCATCAGTGTGTGAATGTGTGTTTGACGGAATAATGAATGAAAATTTTAAAGCATCTTTGAATGCATTATTATCATAAAATCTCACTATCCTCCTGATTCTTCTTCTGATCGCAGACTTACACCAACATAAAGTATATTTGGCCATACACTGCTGAAATTGTGTTCAGTAATGATAACACAAAATAAATTGGACAAATTAAAACATCACGATGCCTCCCACAAGTAATGCTTTTAATTCTAACTACAGGGTTTCATAGAATGATTAACATCAACWTTCTCTCAAAGTTTTTAAATAAATTTGTTGTTCAATCAGGAGATAAGTGCAGGAAATTTACATTTTTATTTGTTGGGTGACAGAATGTCAGACTGAACTAAAGCCATATGTGAATTTTTCCCCACCAACACAGATAAATTTAATTATTCCAAAATTAAAAACAGTGGTTAGGTGAATATGCAGTTTAAGTACCGGTACTGACTTCAGTGAAACGGTTGACAGATTAGAGTATCACAAAAGTCACATCTGAGAGTTAATATTTATTTATTATTTTTGTCAGGTGTATCTWGCTGGAAATGTTTTGTCACGATGCCTTCACCAATCTTTACAATGTATGAATAAATAGCTTCAGTGAGGAAAAACATATTTAGCTAAACTGATAATCACGTTTTATTTTTACAATGTGTGTTTGGTTTTTGTTAATGCTTTACGACCTTTTCTGRAATGTCCTATCTTGTCAGGACCGGTGGTCTTTATGGGGACCGTGTTCTAGTAATTGGAACTTTCTTTTTGAGTAAGRTTTAAAGCTATGGTGTGAACTGAGGTTAGGCAAGAACTGGCAATGGTGAGGATTAGGCAACATAAAAAGMTTTTTACCCAGTGGTAGTTTGCTAGCTGCGTCTGGTCCTTTAGTCTTCTTCTTTTTCTTGCCCACTCTGGTTGGAATTGGAGGCTCATACTTCTTTTTCTTATCCTTCCATTTAAACAAGCAGGACAGTAAATATCAGACAGAAGAAATTGCAACTGCAGTTTATGTACAAGGCATTTACCCATCTCCAGAAAATACAGAAACACTCCAACTACCTAAATTAATGTATACTCCAGTGTATAGGATTTGCTATCATGTTATTTTATAAATATATATTGTTTCAGGGGTACTTCACCTCAAGTTTGAATACACTCCTTTGCTTCCAAGAAAACAGACTCTCAATATTTTTAAGTGGTTGTTGTCACTATTTTCTTTAACCAAAGGAGAGGCAAAGAGGTTATTTTGAAAGTTTTATTCTTGTACAAGGAGAGCAAGTCATACAGACTCATGTAGTCTGAGTAGCTCTGACTAACAGTGTTTACTCCTCCCTATTATGACAGGCTAGGACCACCCCGCTGTGCAGGCAAGCACCGAATGAGTCACCAGGTGAAACATCCCACAAGAGAGAGCCAACCCCACAGAGCTGACTTCAACCAGCACTGTGATTAACCTTTATTAGGAGTAATCAGAAGCTTTGATCCACTTCTGATTTGCTATCCAGAAACAGACTTTTTGTTCTGTTCTTCTTCGCTACACTTAACAAGCATATCAACATATACAGTGGTTTGCAAAAGTATTCATACCCCTTGAACTTTTCCATATTTTGTCACATTACAACCACAAACATAAATATATTTCACTG